CCGTTCCCTCCCCTGCTGAAAACTCCCAGCCGGTCTGCCTTATCTGCTGACACAGGTGACTGGATCGCATGGTCTCCCAGTTGGGGGGGGGGGCATAGCGCTGCATTCACAATGATGCGTTTCGAAAATCCATTGTTACTCCGTAACTATTGAAAATCGACCACAAGTTTATAAGGAAATTTTGCAGGAAATAACCCCAGGAATATGCACCATAAGCCGGGGTAAAACTTCGTGAATCACTCTGTATGTAGGAAAGTATGCTGCGCCCCCTTTCAAGCCCCTCGCCCCCCCACCCCTGGGGGTCGCGCCACACAGTTTGATTACCACTGTCCTAGAGAATTGTACAGTTAAATGTATGTCTTGCTCATAGATGGCAGTAAAGTCGGTTGTGACATCATGCTACACCTATGACGTCACAGCCGACTTTTCTGCCATCTATGTAAGAAAAGTAAAAGAAGTAATTGTACTGATTATTAAGAGTAAAATCTCAGATTTAAGTTAAGATCTATATCAAGAATCGTGGGGTTACCGCTGTTATAGAATAAGATATTTATAAGAATATGCTACAGAAGGCCGGGTTGGCATTGCATAGGCCTTTTTTGTATTTATAATATTTTTTCTACAATAAAAAAAGCTGCATCGTCTTACAAGCGAATAGCATGTACTGTATACAAAGCATGCCTGTAAGACAGCAGCACGAGCAACAGTTGACTAGTTGGTTACGATCGTATCGGGTGTGATATGGCAGTCTTGGTCGGTCTTGGTGCAGTTATCGCATATAAGTTGGCACTACCACACAAGTATCCCTCCTTTCCCCTCTGACGTAACAACCATGTCACCGTCATGCAGTGAAATATTCCAATTGTAATATCCCTCTGAACGTCTTCATTACAGGCTAATATATGTGTATATGCAACGAGTTATGTAATACCAATGATATGCTGAAGCATTACTATGTCCTACGAGTATATTGGATGAACAAACTGTGTGCACAGTGAGAATGGGAGTATAAGTTCCTTGAATCAGTCAGTGCTGGATGAGAAATTTTTGGTGGTAGCCCTTTTACAGGCATCATGTCGAGAACAATCGGAAGAATTTGGGAGTATGTGAGAGCAACGTGAAATGAGGGAGTTTGTTTAAGAATGGCGACGAAGCAACAGAATGTTAGTGAAAAGAGAAAACATTCACCCACAACTCCTGTACAAAGAAAGGAGAAAACACAGAAAATATCAAAGACTATTAGTACAGTAAATGAAGATACCACTAATGTTAGAATGAATGAGAAGAAAAGTGCTATTTTCTATAGCGTGTCCATAGTCTGCTTAGGTGGGCCGAAGATCATATGTAGAATAAATGTGAAGTTTACAGAACACGTGGTGTGGACTGTGGCATGACTGTATGTAGCTATGAATTGTTTATGCTCTAAGGAGATAGGTCAGAGCACAGATGAGTGTGAATTTTAGTACGACAGGGGTGTTAGGCAGTACCTTGGCCCAGATTGTAGCCGGCGGCCCTGGTTCGTTCCCTAGTCGGGCCTTGCGGATTTGTGATAGAGAAAATATATTGGGGCAGACTTCCTCGGAGTTATGCGTTCTTTTGTATGTCAGTTCTCAGTCACGTTCATCAACCATCCGATGCCATATAGTATCGATACTGACAGCGTTGTTAGAGAATCAGCTTAAAAATAAATATGGATGTTTTGAGTTTCGTCTCGAATTCTGGCATATTTAAGAAAATCCAACACCACAGTAATATTATCAACAGCGTTTTTTTTTAGCATGTATGGTTCTTGTTATTTGTGACCGACATTCATCATCCATCATAGATTTGAAGTCTGATTATGGTCTTGTGATTTATGAACTCGTTGCAACAGAGTACAGTTGAAGTTACATGCACTATTTGTATTCTGCGACTTCACAGTAATAAATGAAGGGATATTCTCGGGTAGTGAAACCTATAGGTGTCCTGAAAAATGTTCATGGAATACATATTAAGAATATGGAGTAAGGATGAGTTGCAGGGCATGTAGCATACAATGGGAAACAGGAGTTTGCATTCAAAATTTTGAATGGAAATCTAAGGGAATAGAACACTTAGAAGAGATGGGAACAGATATGAGGAAAACATTAAAATAAATTCAGAGAAATAGCTGTGAAGGCACAAATGAGATTTTTCTGGCACTGTTTGGGTTCCAAAGGCAGCTTTTCTGAACACGGGAATGAACCACATTCTAGAATAGCAGCAAGTTTCTTGACCAGCTAAGTAACTATCATCTTCCCATTGAAGCCCTGCATCATGAAGTTAGTTATGAATACAGATTGTTTAGGTCTTTAGTCCAGTAATAGGTACATTATATTAAAATGTAATTATGTGTACAGCAACTCATGTCAGGCAAGGCATAATTACTCAACTCACTAAACCGATTTAGAACCTGCCTAACAATTTTAGTTTTCCCTTCTGGGTATGAAATTACTGTAAATTAATTTTTATTGAGATGTATGTACGAAGTTGACATTCATTCCTTTCCGAGCATGGACGCAGGTGATTGTGGTGGTGGGGGAAATATCTCCAGGCCCCCACCATGAATTTTTGAGAAGCGTCAAAACTGAAAAGAATAAGAAATTACCAAATATTAATATGAGTAGTTAAAATAGGTTTTAAACATATTCTATTCTTCTGTCCTTAATACTCTAAGGCAGTGATGGGCAAACTTTTTTAGGAGGGGGCCAAAGAAAAAAGAAAAAACTTTAGGCGGGCCAATATAATTTATTAAAAACAATAATGGTAGATTTTACAAAATTCTTGTAATACTAAGCCCTATTAATGATTGAAAGATTATGAAGGAGAATGTGATGAATGAAACTGTGACTGCATTTCCAAAATTTTCTCATAATCTGGTTCGAACTGGGATGCACTGATTCTCAGAAGTGAAGTTAAATGCTCATCTGTCAGTCTGTTTCTAATACAACTCTTTCTAAGTTTCATTGTAGAAAACACCTGTTCACATATATAGGATGAAGCAAACATAGCAGTGACTTTCTGGGCATGAGATATCAGATTTGGGTAACTGGATTTCGACAAGGACTTGTAGAACTCTAATTTTGGGACATTGAGAAACAACTGTTTGAGTTGAGTGTTACATTGCAACTCAGTTAATTCAAGTTGCAAGTCCAGTTTCACTGTTTCACAGTCTACATTAAAAGGCATACTGAAAACATCCAAGTCTTTTTCAATGGCACTGAAGTCTTGAAATCTTCGTTCAAATTCACCACGGAGTCTTCTCAGGCTATCCTCGTAGCTCCTAAGCTTGTCCTTCATCACTGGGGCTATTGAATTTAACCTCGGGAAGTGAGACAAGTCATTCTTAGCTAGCTGATCTGCAAACAGAACAAGTTGTAGTTTAAAACTTCTGATATGGCCCCAGATATCATCAATAAATTGATTTTTTCCTTGCATCTTGACATTCAACTTGTTCAGGTGGCAGAGAAGATCTGTGAAAAATGCAAAGTCCGAAAGCCATGCAGTATCTTCCAGCATTTCACATTCTACAGACCACTGTTTCTCTTGGAAGAATGACACTATTTCGTCTTTCAGCTGCCAAACTCGCTCAAAGACGTGTCCCGCGCTAAGCCACCTTACTTTGGAGTAGTGTAGTAAATCAGAGTATTCAGATTGCATGGAGTCAAGAAACTCTCGAAATTGTCTGTGAGTAACCCCTCAAGATCGAATGGCATTAACAAGCTTCACAACGACATCAAGCACAGGTTTCATATCCAAGACAGATTTACACAGGGCGTCTTGATGTATGACGCAATGCAAAAATACAACATAGTTCTCAGGATATTCTTGATTAAAGATCCCAACAAATCCAGATTTTCTCCCTGTCATACTTTGTGCTCCATCTGTCGTAATACTGCATATGCTAGTTATAGGTACTTTCAAAGTTGAAAGGCCTTCCAGAAATTCATGAAAAATATCTGACCCTGTTGTAGTTCCCTTTAACGACCGCATGCATGCTAATTCCTCTGTAATAGAGATGTTTTCGTCAACACCTCCTATAAATAATAGCAACTGTGCAGTATCATTTATATCAGTGCTTTCATCCATAGTAATGGAGCAGAATTTAAATTGACCAATCCTTGATTCCAACTGTGATAATATGTTTTTATCTATGACTTCGATTCTAGAAGTCACTGTTTTTCGAGATAAGCTTACAGTTTCAAAATCCTTTGTCTTGTCAGGACATAAAATATCACAAACTTTGAGCATGCAGTGTTTAACAAACTCCCCATCAGAGAGAGCTTTGTTACTTTTAGCAATATTGTATGCTACAACATAACCTGCATGTGTAGCTGCTTTCTGAGAACTATTTACTTTCTTAAAAATACTTTGCTGACCTGACAGTTTTTTACGTAGGTCTTCTGCTTTTTGTTTCCTTTCATCTTCGGTCATGGCTCCATAATTAGCATTCTTATGCTTAGAGATGAAGTGCCGGGAAATGTTGTTTTCTTTGTAGACTGCTATGGTTTCATTGCAGATAAGACACAGTGGTTTATCCTTAAAAGCTGTGAAAAAGTACTTCCAAGTCCATTCATCTTTGAAAACACAGCACTCTGAATCAACTTTACGTTTTTTAGTTGACATCTTAGGGCTGAAATGTTTCACGAATGTGCACAGTAAAACTAACAAACACCTACAACAATAGTGCGACCGGGTCTGAATAAAAGGATGTGGTGTTAGTAGCCAGCCGCAGTGGATGTAATGTGGAGGGGGTACAGCAAGGAGACTCCGTTGCCAATTTTACTCTTCGCTACAAAAATGCCAGCAGCCAGTGCCGCCTCACTCTCAAATGTTAACATAGCATTCCAATACCATAGTGGATAAGTAAATAAATTAATCTGTGGTCACTAGGCTACACATAAAAGGGAGGAAAGAAGAAGAAAATAATCCAGAATTATTTATTTTCCTTAATTCTTCTTCTTTTCATTCGTCAGATTAGGAATCATTTCGCGGGCCGGATAGAACCTATCAGGGGGCCACGTCTGGCCCTCGGGCCGTAGTTTGCCCACCACTGCTCTAAGGTGATACATAAAGATGTTCTCAAGTAGATTAATAAGTTCATAAGCAAATTTTCTGGCTGCCTTGGCAGTGCCCATGTTTGAGAGATACAATTTCCATGGCTCTGTAGTGAAAGCAGTTTAAATATGAAACACATTTCAACATGAGTTTCACTTTTCTTAGCACACTAGTGACTGAAATATGATTAAGCATTGGTAGTTGGACACACATACATATTTGTTTTATTCTTTTGTAATTTTTTACTGCAACAGATCCTGATTGTAATGGAATCTCATGGACACTGAAGGGGCATCAGCAGGGCCCAGATTTTGATGACCTGAAAATATTTAAAAAATAACAAAAAAAACCCAGAAAAATGACCTAAAATATGACCCAAGAATGTAGTATGCAGGGCCCGGATTTTGATGACCTGAAAATATGAAAAAAAGACCTATGAAATTACCAAAAAAAAATCCAGAAAAATGACCTAAAGGAGAAAAGAAAGAACACTTCCCTTCCATGTTATTCACATTTCAGAAAACATATGAAGAAAATTTCCCTAAAATGGCCAAACATGACAAGAAATACCCTTAAATGTAAAAAAATACCAAAACATTACCCCCAAAATGAAAAAATGACCTTAAACCTAAAAATGTCAAAAAGTGGCAAAAAATTACCTATATCTCATATCTGAGATTTATATATTTAAGAGCATCGCGTAGGATACAAGGAAAAAAAGATAACATGTCATCAAAATCCAGGCCCTGGTCATCAGTTTTCCATTGAACTCTTAATTCTTGTAATAGGTACATAAACAATATATTTATTCATTTTCACCATTCTCTGTGTATAGAACACATACTGTAATACTGTACCATAATTTATTTTCCAGCATTTGGCTTTGCTTGCTTACATGTTTACCATGTGGCATCCATGTTTGAAAATGACAGACATTTTTCCCATCTTTCAACACTTGAGAGGGAAATGACTTTCCGCACTGAAATGGTTTGTATGAGATCTATAATACATAAATTTTAATAAATAAACATAACATTAAATACATAAATAAAACAAAAAAGAATGGTCATACTACGCAGAATGGAGTATTCATATTCATATTTACTTGGGAGGAGACTACTTTGGTCACCCCAAGCACTGAGACTGGTATCAGATTTATTATGGCCCCTGATCATGTTACAGCCCTGAAAAGAGCCGTGACTTTAATGTTACAGCAAGACCCCTTCTGATACCTGTTGAACCTAAATATGTAGATCTGAAGACGTATTCTAGTTGATACCCAGACAGAACTGAGCACAGAGAAAGTATATGGTAGGAGGTGTCCCTCTCCTGTCCACATTTCCTGTACATGACCCTTTCCAAAAGGCCCATAACATGTAGGTGCTACATCAGTGTACAGTGGCCAGTTGCCAACACTGTTACCAGCCTACACTCTTTCATGTCCAGGGTCAGTAGGTCCCTAGACACTATACCCAAGGGCCTTTCAAGGAAGCAGTTTGAGTTCCTCATACTTAGAACAGCAGTCCTGTGTCCAGAGTACTTCTCCTTCAACCATTCTTTAACTCAGAGCCTGTCAGCATATACTGAGGTTCAAATTTCTGGTTGAGGCTCTCAAATGGAGTACTTATTCCAGCTATATGAAGTATGTAACATAGGTTAAGCTTTTCCTGTTTTTGCTTGTTTGGTTGCTTGGGTACATAAAATACCTGTACTATTTTGCTGTGTTAATGCTGTTGCTGACAGATTGTGGAGTGGTAAGGAACTGTGCCTTCCTTGCTTAATTTGGTAGGAAAATTAACATCACACATTTTAGATATCCCAGAATTTGCTTGAAGTGAGGTGGAAGAATTACAGAATTTTAAAAATCCATGCTACAAATGTATACACATGTTCTGTCACAAGTTTGATTAAGTTATATTAGGTTACAGAATTCATATGTGTTTGACACTTCTTTTTTTAATTTAGCCAAAACTTCTCAATATGTAAAGGGTTAATCTCTGATTTCCTGAGACAAAATACTTGAACTACCAGCATTCACAGCTTTGTTGCAGTGCGGTCATGAAGTAAGGTGAACATGAAGGCTAGTGAGTGCAAGAACTGACAAGAATATGCAGAACAAGACTGTATGGCAGATACAACAGTTGTTTATTCCAAATACAAGATCAACATGTAATTTGGAGTACACTTATTTTCCATCCCTCAATGATTGAATAATGAATATACATGCCATGTAAACTCTGTTTTGCAAGTTTTGATATTTTTTGCAGCAGTGATTGTTCAGATTGTGATGTGTGTAGGTTCAGGAAATGGCTCAATTATAATGATGGATTACAAGGAAGTCATCATGAAACCCAAGGCAAAGAGATAAATAAGTTTGATCTGGGCTCCTGTTTTTATGCCCTTTCCTTGTGTCTCATGTACACCTGCATAGGTAACCTAGCCAGTTCCTGAACTACACATGTCAAGCCAGAAATGGAGGGAGCATGTTCCTCTGAAATGTCGGTATGTACCTATAAGACTACAGTCTAGAAGAGCTATATTTTTTCATACTAAATGGAAAGAACTGGTACCTTGCTAGAAAAAGGTAAAGCTATCACTGCAACAGACCGTGGAGCCCCATAGGGTTGTGAGACATCGAGGCTCCCACATTTTCTAGTCAATCAGCTAACAGATGGGGGTAATGTTGTCAGCCTTATGCACTGGCCACCCTTTACCCCCGAAAGATTCCTGGTACTCTTTTCTGTTAGAGGCTGAGCCAACCCCAGGGTCATAGTGTGGCTGGAAGGATTAGGTCAATTGAAAAATTCAGTAACCTCTTTGGGAATTGAACCCACAACCTTCTGGCTTGTGGCATAGTGCCTGGACCAACTACACTGCCACATTTCCCCCCTGGAACCTTTTTACAAAAATTAAATCATATGATTATGTATGTATTTGCATCTAGCACAATGTTTTTGTTTCAGGGTCTTTATTATTCCTACTATAAGACTTTAGTAGAAGCTCCATCATTTTCAGAGGGATTTGATCAGATCACTCATGATAATTTAACCGAATTTCCATCTGTTATCAACACATTGCAGAGGTTTAATTTATGCCCAGAAGTAAGTTTGTGTGAAGTGTAATTTGTTATTTTGTACTTAACTGTTAACATATGCTGTTTTGTCTTTGATTGTTAAATACATGAATAATTTGGTAAGAAATGGACCCCAGCAGCAGATGAATGAGCTAAGTCTGCACAGAACTCTGAGTATTGTGTGCAGCAGTAACTGTGACTGTTAATTTGGATATGTCCATTGTCTTTAGTTTCTTCAAAGCACAGTGCTTTGGAAACTGGATCTGTTTTTCATTATCAAATGTTAGAGGAAAGAAGTTCAAAAGAGCTAGTCTCAGTCAAGGTGTAACTCTTTCTAGTGGGCTGTATAGAGTAGGGACCCTTCCTCTTACACTTCATGACAGAAACAGATCCGGTTCTCAATGTGTTTTGAAAAGACTGAAGACAATGAACAGTGTCCAGAATAATGTCCATATCATAATTATTAACAAATTAATAATTCAAATTACATTGCACAGGCTCTGAATATAATTTTATTACTATTTTTTTTTAAGTGTGTTTTCCTGATGATGGCCACTAGTGGCCGAAACATGTAGCAGAACTATATCTGGGCATTGTCCTTGAAGTTCTTTTATTGTTGTGTTGTGACGGTCAAATAAATAAGTTGTATATAAGTTGTATTTGTTACTATTATTTGGGATCATACTGTCTGTAAATGACTGCAGTGTAATTATAAATTTACCATATCAAAGTTGCTTGTTGTTATGAAGATTTAGTACTGAATTTAATTTTTGGATCCCACATTGAGTAATGCTGTTGTTGCTATCACCTCACAAGTTTCTACGTCTGCCATGTTGTTATTACAGAATATAAGAATAACATGAATATTATGCCTTCAGTGACATAGTGTAGATACCATATTTGATGAAAAGTAGCTCAATTGATTTTGAATTGGAAGGAGAGGCATGAAGAGAGCATGGTAACGTCATAAGCAGCACAGGTGAACCATGGCAATGTGGCATCTTATGTCACATTATTTTTGGCTTTTTGTTAAATGTTTTTGTCATGTCTGAGAATTTAATGTTATAGTGATGAAGTTTTGAGGATATTTAACATTTCTAACTGAGCACGATGGGTTGGAATTTAATATTGCCTGGGGTTAAAATTAAAAAATAGTTATGGGGGGTTGGAGTCCAACTGGGTCCACTTGGCACGGCAGCCACTGATTGGCCTATTGTACCTGCCCTGGGTGATTATGATGATGGAGAATTTGGTCGAATGAAGACTGGCTAGGGAAACCGAAGTACTCGGGGAAGACCAGCCACAGCGCCACTTTGTGCACCACAAATCCCACTTGACTAGAGCCAGGATTGATCCTGGGCTGCCGAGTGAGAAGCCAGCAACTAACTGCTTTAGATATGGTGCAGCCTTGCCTGAAGTTGCATTTAGGCTTGTGCCAGCTGTGCTCATAACCCTACTATTCTCTCCATCACAAAGGAAAATGTACATATAAAAGAAAGGTCTTATAGTGTAATCATTTTCATTGTTATATAATAGTCAAGATGTGTTTCAGGAGTTAAGTTTGAAAATGACTGTGATTCACAGAATTTGGGACTTCTCACAGTAGCAGCTATGAAGAGTTCTGTCTTCTGGGATATAATGCTATGTAGCCCACTGAAAGTGAACTGGTGTTTTGGAAGAAAATGTCTTCTCCATCTTCAGGGTTGAAGAGTGGTAATCCAAGCCAGAAACTGGCATCAAGCAGGCAGCAGGCAGACCTCTATCTGCTTAATGCTGATTTTTTTCTTGACTTACTGTTTAACCCTGAAGATGGATGCAGTATGTTCCCCCAAATCATCAGTTGACTGTCAGTGGACTACACAGCATAGTAAGTAGGCAAGCGCTTCTTAAAACAAGTCTTGATCATGAAGATTTATATGCACACCAGATCCATCAAATACCTTAGTATGTTGGAACAGATTAATTTGTATTTCAAAATATACCTGTGAATTTTGTGAATATGCTTCTAAATTTATGCCAGAAAAATGCAATAATACATACTCTGTAACTTACAGCTCTACAGCCATTGGTTCTATTTTTTCTTTGACTGGAGTTAGGCTTTATTCAGTGTTTTAAGTAAAATCAATATCTTTTTGTAGGTAGCAATTGGTTCATTGTATCGAATATTCATGGCAGTGACGAACTGGCTGGGATGGGCCACCAAACAATGTTGGCAGGTGGAGAGGGGCCAAGGATTACCCCAAGTTACTAGTTGTGAGGGCCTAGGTGATCCAACATATTTCTACCTAGAAATGGTGTGGATCTTTGCTGGCTTTACTATGGGTATAATATTTTTGTATGCATTGTTTCTCAGGTATGTTTATAATTGTTCTTAAGCTTGTGTGAAAGTTTTGATTCTAGTCTTAATTGTTATCTGGTGGGTTGCTTTGTTTCCAGCATGTGGGCCCACTCTGCCATAAGTATAATTAGGAAACAGCCCACCAGCCTGTAGATCAAATTTTTAATATCAGGCATGGCATACATCCATAAGAATCTGAAGCATAATAAAGATAGGTGTTTTATAGGAGTTAAAATCTCGAATTTTTCATCAAATGCTAGTCATGTTGGTATAGCTGTTTCATGTTCCTTTATAGTGGCTCTGTGACAGGAGGTCTACTTGCAGTTCTGTGTTTCTTCTATAATCATGCTGAGGTGAGTACTCACGTTTACTTTTTACAAAAACATCATTATAAGTCTGTATAAAATTTCAAAATTTTCTTTGTAGTATTCATCTTTCATCAGATATTACTGAAATTCTTTGCTTATAAATGAAACATGAAGAAAGAGGAATGTTGTCAGCATATTGGCTGAAATGGTAGTGCTTTTGCCGTCTGTTTAGGAAGTGCCTGGTTGGAATCTCAGCCAGGACTGTACCTATCCTGACAGTTTTCTTTACTGTTCTTCGCAGTTCCTCCAAGAAAATTACTAGGATAGTACCTCAGATTAGGTCACAAATTCCTTCTTCCACATTCTTTCCAATCTAATTCTATATTCACTGAGCATTCTATCATTTGACACTGCATAGTCTGTGTTATGCCGCAGGGTTATGGCAAGAAGTTGTATTTTTGAAGTTATTAGGTTTTTTTTTGGGTTAACTAGTTTAGGGAATTGAACTAGGGAAGTTTGAAAAAAACCTGAGTAAGACAGGTTTAATGAATGTAGGAATTTGCCGCGTCACACTATATTGCTGACAACGCGGAAGAGCCACGCAGTAGCTTAATGAGTTGCTGAATCAAGGAAGGCGGTAAACTGGGAGCCGCAACCCCCTTCCAGTAACCAGCCAATAGAAGATCGCCACCCTGAGAGACAATTACGTCAGGCAGGGAGGAGCAAACCCCCAGAAGCTGATGAGTTAGCAGGGAAACGAGTATAAAATGGCTAGGAGAAATTATAATAAAAATCTTTCAATCAATAATTTGAGTTGAGTGCCGCCGGAGGCTATCGCCAAAATGACATTGAAAGTGTGTTGGCCAGGAACGATCTTCAGCATCCTGAACTCAAGTAAGTGGACCTACTAATTATAGCCATGGAACTTAAAGTGATATTAGTAAAGTGCAAACACCCCGAGGCTAGAAGCCAGAACGTAGGGTAGGAGTAGGATAGGAGAAATAACCTGTGAGTGCCAGGTATAGGAACCCACAGTTGGGTGAGAAAGGCTAAGGATGTTGGAGCCTAGTGTGTATTCATTTACCGACATATGTAAATTATTGTTACCAACCAGAGTGTAATGTATATATATGTATATAAGGACAGTGGGAAGAATAGAAAGTAGTAGGGAAGCTGTGTCACGTCAGTGAACCCCGTCCTACGGATGCCTCCCTATCCGCCATGGTCCATCACCAGTCCAACCGCCCAAGGCGCACGGCGAACTCCAAGCCGACGAGGCAGTGAGTGAGAAGAATCCCCTAGCTTCCTAGCCCCCCCCCCTTACCAAAGGCAGTACAATGGGTGACAGCGGTGGTATGAGCCAATGCAGAGACGGTTGACGAAGAATTTAGCATTTTCTTAACCACCCCTGTCATTACAACATTACAGTTTGATCTACTGACAATGTTGTTATGAGTATGAGTATGAGGGGTGAGCCATAGAAACCGGCCCTCACACCGCGACCTTCAGTGATCTATTGTGCTTTTCCTTTGGATTAACCCTTTACTAATCCTACACACTGAATGAAATGTAGGACTATTTATGGGGGCATCATAAAGTCACTTGGTTCCATGAAGAATTGACCCAGGTGATGATATCGTAGGTAAGCTATAGCCTCCCAATCACATAATGTGTGTGTGGCTGATTCATCTTCTTGTAGGCACCTTTCACAAGTTGGGTCTCAGCTGTCAGTCCCAGTTTGAAAAGGTGCCCTTTCAGGTGGCAGTGTCCAGTAAGTAATCCTACCACCCATCTTAGTTGATCTCTGTCATTTTGACAGGTCCCTCATTCTTTTGGCAGAGGGTCCTGATATAAATCCTTTTGCCTGTTTGAGTCCAGTTGTGGAATCCCAGTGTTTTTTGTGATTTCTATCAGTCCAGTCCCTGATCACTTTCTTGGCAACTCCAATTGAGATGCCACAAGCTGGTTCAGGTCCTGTTCTTGCCAGCTGATCTGCGGTTTCATTCCCTGCAGTACCCTCCTACTGAGATGCCACAAGCTGGTTCAGTTCCTATGAACGGCTGTTCAGATCCTGTTCTTGCCAGCTGATCTGCGACCATGTTGTTAAGTAAACTGTGAGGTCAGTGAGCATGTTCTGAGAACCCTACAGTAAAGATGAAAGTACCAAAAAGGGGAGGGTAAAGTCACCATAAAAATGTTTCCTTTCTGCCCTTAAGTAAACAGCAGGTTAATATAAAAATAGGTAAAAAAAAATAAATAAAGCTATCCATGTAACAGGCCGTGGAGGCCCATAGGGTTGTGAGATGTTGAAGCTCCCACATTTTCTAAACAATCGGCTCACAGATGGTGGTGAGGTTGTCAGCCTTAGGTGCCAGCCGCTCTTTAGCCCCACAAAGATTCCTGGTACTCATTTCTTTTAGAGGCTGGGTCAGCCCCAGGGCCATAGTGTGGCTGGAAGGATTATGTCAACTGAAAAAATCCAATGAACTCGCCGGGAATTGAACCCACAACCTTCCAGCTTGTAACATAGTGCCTCGACCAACTGCTGTACCGCATGCCCCCAAAATACGAATAGGTGGTTAATTAATTTTGCTTATTTTTCCTTCTACCCTGAAGATGGAGGCAATATGTTCCTCTGAAACGTCAGTTAACACGACATCTACATGGTGCCACATCCCAGAAGACTGCTTTCTTTAATTAATTTAGAATTAAGAGTTCTGGGAAAATGTTTATGCTACCTTTTACTTTGTGTAATTGTCCCTTTGTTGTCTTTTCTTATTAGGGATTTAGACATCTGTTTATCAAATCTTGTTTTAGTGTACACGTGTACAGTGGGCGCCACCATTACGCGAGAGCTTCGCGTATCCGTCCTGCCTCCTTCAGATGATGTATGTTAGTGTTTGTCTGCGTAAACGTGACAGTGATTTTTCAGTGAAACCATCCCCTCTAATCCAGGTATAGTACTAGCTGATAATTGCCCTGCCTCACCTTCCAAGAAAAAAAAAAATATATATATATATATATAAAAAAAAAAGTGTCACTATTAAGGAAATGGAGACCGGATGCCTGATGACACAACCAGTGTCATTTCATGCAAGGTGTTCGAAATCAACTATGTTCTTTCTGTTTTCATAGGAAATTGTTATTGTTTGTCAGGTGGTTTGTCATATCTTAGAATACAGACCTGGCCTGAAGCCTTAATATGTGTCAATATGTCGCTGACCTATTAATAGATTTTCATAAAATTGTTCCATTTCCAGTGCCATTCATTTCTCTGCTTTCTACATTTTTCACCCATCAACCCTGAAGTCAGTTGGTACAGAAATTCATGAAAGTAATTCTATTAACAATTTTATGTTATGAGCTTCTTGGTTTAGGTCAATAATAGTGGGTGATATATTACTTAACACGTGAACATGGATGTGTTTTGAAATAAGTGATATATTGCATGCACAAATTATGTTACATTTTACATTCTTTTGCAAGAATATTTTCTTTTTATTTTAGCTACTCGGTATCTGTGGTTCCACTTGGTTGTGTCTGATGCTTTGGCAGTTCTCCCAGTTTGTCATTGCCACACAGACTGTTGCGCTAGCTGCCATGTTTGTTATTGGCGCAATTGATAAAGACATCTTTCTCATTGTTCTCTTTGGACAGGGTGTAAGTATAATTTCTTTCAGTGATGACTTCTTGTATGCTGTTGTTCAAGATTTCATAGCATTGGGTATGCTTCCAGAGGTTTTATGTGTACAGTGGCAACTGTTCCATTAGTCTGATTACAACTCTGCACCACCAGAAATATGTATTAAATTGAATTCTGACAAGTTTAGAAATAATGTCTTCAGGAAGATATTGAGACATAAGAAGGATGGAGTAAGTGTAACATAACAAGTAATTCTGTGCTTTAATCAGTCAAATGGCTCTTTTCCATGCTCTTATCTCTCCCACAGTGGCACATTAAGTCCCTCAGACATTTAAATTTGTCACTGCTGAATTTAATTTCATAATTTTTGCACCATTTTTAAAATGCAGTATCTCAATCATGTGTCATTGTAAAATTATGGAACAAAAGGCCTCTGAAAGACCAATTATCAGACTTCACATAACTATACAGTTGTCATGTGTTGGGCATGTCACTACGAATCACCTGATGCCATCAAGGATGTAGCGAATATTTATTGTGCCTCACTTATACACTCACACACTTTACAATTATTATCACTTGCAGTTTCACAATTACTGCTTCCACTGTATCTTGGCGAATACTAGGCTTCAACTGCCTTCGACGGCGACTCTCTTAAGACTGACTTGTTACCGCTGAAGTGTGTTATTCCTGCTGGTTCAACAATCCATTGCTTAGGAAATGCATTATTCTGCTGTTTCAATAATCCGTTGCTTCAGAAGTGTAATATTTCCCGTTGTTACACAACTCTCCTATAGCCATTACATTAACATTTATGTCTATTTTTTTTAGTAAAATTCCCTCCTTTTGGCTTTATTCTAAAGAAATCTGCCACTGTTGTTACTGACATGCATTTCATTTCCCAATGCATTATCACAAAGGCATATCTGACTCATGCATATTCGTTATAAGCAGTTCTCTTACAGCATCTGGTGTTTAGAGATGAAACACAATCCCAACTTTGCTTATTGAGACACTGGTTGCCTCATTGATAAATGGGGTGTAATACTGCTGTGTGGGCAAGCTGAAGGCTAGTATGGTTGAATGAACTGCGCCTGAGAACAAATTGTCCATGATTACATGTTATCCCTGATTCAATAGAGGAGCCATTAATTGTAGAATTACTTTTGAGACATAGGGCTCAGTTTTTAGGGCTTCATTGAAAACAGTATCATGCCCAGTGTAAATAATAAAGTTCCATACATAACCAGATTTGGCTTCACACAATTCAAATGATTTTGTACCAAATCTGGCATGTTTTGAAGGAATGTATACCTTCCACGAGAAACGTCCCTTCCACATCATCAAAGACTCATCTACTGACACATCACACTTGGGTATATACACTCCTAAATTTGGCATTTAGATGATCCAGTACAGGTTTGGGTTTATACAGCCTTCTGGAGTCGCAAGTTGAATGAACTGCGCCTGAGAACAAATTGTCCATGATTACATGTTATCCCTGATTCAATAGAGGAGCCATTAATTGTAGATTACTTTTGAGACATAGGGCTCAGTTTTTAGGGCTTCATTGAAAACAGTATCATGCCCAGTGTAAATAATAAAGTTCCATACATAACCAGATTTGGCTTCACACAATTCAAATGATTTTGTACCAAATCTGGCATGTTTTGAAGGAATGTATACCTTCCACGAGAAACGTCCCTTCCACATCATCAAAGACTCATCTACTGACACATCACACTTGGGTATATACACTCCTAAATTTGGCATTTAGATGATCCAGTACAGGTTTGGGTTTATACAGCCTTCTGGAGTCGCAAGCAGCATAATTGTAACTTTCGTTGTCAACAAAATGAAGAAACTTGAGTAGATGGTAAAACGTACTCTCGCTGAACAGCTCCAAAAATATGGGCATTTTCAGAATTTTCCTCCAGCAAAAATAGCTCTTGTTATCCGGTTTCTGGTGAAGTCCTTGTAGCAGAAAGAATGCCAGCAACTACTTTATTTAAATTCTGTTGATCCCCTTCCAGTGATGGGTCCTAGATTTTAGTTTCAGAATAGGCATGTTTTGAAAAAAAAATTCTTGGCGTACCAATTTGTTTCTCTGGCTATTACTTCCATAATGTCTGGTGTACAAAACAACTCAGAATGTTCCAGGGTGTTACTGGGGTCTTCTAGATCAGCATTTATGCCAGGCTTACCAGTAAATGGAAAACATGGTTGTTCAGCACATGAATTTGCCCAGACATCATGTTGCATGCTACTGTTGTGGCTGACATTTTCTGTTTCATCAGAACTGACACTTTGTTCACCACCTGACAAAATTTTCACATTTATTTCACTATCAGTAGTATATTCACGTCTGAAATATCACTGTATTCATTCTCTTGTCAACAGTTCACATAACACCCCCTCATCACTTACACACATCTTCTTGCTAGGACGTGCCAAAATGTTAATCGAAAGAACTAGAACCCAGGACAACTGTCAAGCAATCAACAACTTCCTGTCACACTCCAGAGTAACTAGAACATCTTGCAAGCAAGTTTTCATTTCTGACAGGCATTATATCTACCACGGAGTTGTTGCATGTAGACCCATTTCTAGACAAAGCCCTAAATGCACACACACACAACAACAGAAAAATTATTGCAAGAATTGTTTTTTGTGTTATCTGTGCCATGCCCATTACTAGGCAATGGGGTCACTAAACACATTCCCACAGAAGTATACCACGGATTAGCGGGAAATCTATTGCTAGGCAACAGAGCAGTAAACATCCATATGAATTGTTGAGAGATGGTGCTTTCCATGGAGTTCATCCTGAGACTATATAACACAGAATTGCAAGTGAGCAGTCAGCCATAGAGAGATAGAGAGAGTTGTGGAAGAACGAGAATAAGGGTTGAAGGTGTACAATGGAGTTAGCCTGCAAAAAGAATACTTGACATGTGTTATAGTTAATGAGACTGTTATAAATCCATTACAAGGATACGACTAGGGAAGACTTAGAAGACTTAAGCATGTCCTGGGATTGGTGAAGTGGGTAGATAATGATAGTGCTATAATTGATTGTGATTAAGAGAGATTGTAAAAGAAGGGGTCAATATATCCAGTCGAGAACCTGTTATTATTGGTCACAGAGCCATAAACTCATGACAGTATATTTTTGAATGTTTGTGCATTTTCTTTTATTGTGTACCTTCCATTATTTCCCTAGCTTGGAGTACTTCAGGCAGTAATGTCCCTGTTTGGTAATGAACTCCTCCTGACTTCAATTCTGACTTGTCTGATTGCATCTCTGTTGATTGTGACGCTTACATTGGAGCCAGCCCTTACACAGTTCAACTGTCTACCACGAGGACTGGTGTTAGTTTGCCTCACACTGTTGGGCACAATTACACTCAAAACGCATTTGTCCCATGCTTTGGGCAACAAAGATGATGTAAGTACTACCTTAATATTTTTCCTTTATACCTAATATTGCCATCTTCCAGGATGCAATGCCATGTAGTATGATAAATATGTTCCTGTCTATCATACTGCAAGGTGTCACATCCCAAAGGACTGTAATCTTAATACTGATCATTGTGGGAACTCAGCAGTATACCACACTATACAATATCATGTCCCAGAAGATCATAATCTTAATATTCACCACCTCAGCATCATCAAATGGCCAGTATTCCTTGTTTTCCTAAAGTTTCATCTTTCTTAGATGTGAAGTTTCAATCTGTAAGCAAAAGAAATCTGCACACAGATCTGACTTGGGATTGAATTCAGGGCCCTCTGAATCAGAGTCCAGTGTCATACTCTTGAGACCACCAGGTTTCTCTACTTTCTTAGCGCTACACTGCAATATTCTGCTTTTTCTTAGTGTATTTTTTATATAATTGTTGAATATAGTTTATGTAGATAATAGAGGAAGACAATGTTGAACACTGATTAAATTTCATTACAGGGTCACATTATCAACATCCTGAAATCAAAACTAACTGGGTATCGGGACTTCCACACATTGCTTTACACGTGCTCCCCTGAGTTTGACTTCCTTCCTACAGAAACTGTATGGAAACTGACAGAAACTCTCTTACTGCCAGCTGTAGCTGTGGCTGTATTAGTAGTTCCTTGGTACTGGGTGTCAAACATCTTGTTCAGTCACAGACAAAATAGTGATGAGAGGTAATGTTTCTCATATTTTGAATTATGCTGTGTTATGTATGGACCTTATATTTTGCATCATACTGTTATTCTATGGTCATTTATTTTTATAATTTGTTTTCCCCATTCGTTGGCCATTATCAGTACTTATACAGGATATTATTTATGTGTGCATATAACCTCATATGGTAGGACATGGTCATGTTTTATTTTGAGGTTCTGCTTCAGTGTTCATCAAAAGGAATTGTAGGAAACCTGAAATGCCTGTACCAGAACATGTCGTCAGGTTTATATTTTAAATAAGACATACCATTTCAATTATTAATGTTCTTGAGAAATGTGCAGCATTCTAAGAAATAATCAAATAACCAATCTGTCGGCCAAATTGAATAATACAGCTTCACTTATGTCCATACTAGTGTATGAACCATTGAGAATTCAATAGAAAGTCTCAACATTTGTTATATAAGCTTTTCTGATTTAACGTCCCCAGCCTTCTCTCAGATTACACACTAGTAATTATGCTATCAAATGATGCATTGAGCCTGATATTTAACACTATCTCCCACAAATGACACACACAAATAGTCATTTGTGAACCATCTCCTTTATACAGTGTAATGTACTTCAAATAAGGTACTATGAAAAAGAAAATGTAAAGTTATCCCTGTAACAAGCCGTGGAGGCCCATAGGGTTGTGAGACATCAAGGCTCCCATTTTTCTAGACACACTGGTCACAGATGGTGGTGAGGTTGTCAGCCTTACGCACCTACTGCCCTTCAGCCCCAGGAAGATTCTTGGAACTCATTTCTGTTAGTGGCTGAGTCAACCCCGGGGCCATAGTGCGGCTGGAAGGATTAGGTCAATTGAAAATTCCAGTGGCCTCATCGGAAATTGAACCTGCAAGATAGGGTGATCATGAAAGTGATAATTGGCATGGAGACTTACAGCTTAATGTGGGCTTCAGATCACAAGGAATAATAATCTGTCATGGTAGAGTTTCAATCTGCACACAAATGTGACCCACTGGATATGAGTCCAGTGTCATGCCCCAAGACAATTTTGTGTCATTTATGGAGGATAGCAGTAGTCACAAGAGCTGTTTCATCTTATTGCTTCAGGTCAGAGAGTCATCTAGCAAGTTGTATTGAGCCAGAGATCCTCTATAACATTCTGCAGCTTGCAGCTTTTGCAATTATGGCTGGCTTGGTTATGAGGCTGAAATTGTTTTTCACCCCACAGTTGTGTATAATTGCTTCACTGCTGGCTTGTAGAAGGGTGAGTATTGCCATATGCTTCCATTATGCAGCTGTTATTTAAATTGAAACTTATGGAGAATCTTTGATGCATTAACAGTTAATGATTAACCCATTGTGTACACACTTAAATGGGCTGTTATCATATGTGGAGGGGCCTTTTAAATTTGTTCTTAGTACTAATTATGTTTTATTTGTTTCATTCTGGTCCGTCACACTAAACAGTACAAGCAACACAGCACACATAAACTACACCAGTGAAAACAAGAACACATCACCAAAAGGGATAGGCGACAATATCCACTACCAAGGAAGATAAAACATGATCCATATTGGTTCACGAACAAAGTTCTTAACTTAAAAATAAGTTTTTATGCACATTCATAACATAATTTTAACATAAAGGAAGGCTGCTGTGGTGAAACAAATTGAATTTTATATACAGTGCAGTGGAAAATTTTTAAACTATCCTTTATGGAAGTGATTGCATATAAGTCACTTCTAAGTAATATACTTCAACAATGTTCTTATTATAAAAGTTTACGTCAAACATCTATTTTGATAATGGAAAATTAACAACTACATATAGTGAGGATCAAAAATGTTTTAAGTGTATATAGTCTTATAAAAACATTTACATTTTGGGGTGTTCCTGATGGTAATGGTATACCTCCGATGATGATTCATTAAGAATTGAAACATGTTAGGTATCTAAGTGCTGAAGTGGTGAAGGCATAATACGTCACATTGGACTGAAATAAACTTAATTGTAAACTAATTATTTTCTTGGAAATCAAGGAGTAGAAACAAATGGAAACTATACATCAATAGCAGACAGTTGCAACAAACTATCCAAATGATACAGAAAAGGTATCTGCCTGCCATCTGTGAATGGTAAGTGAAAATTAAATGACAAGAATGTTTGAAGAATATTACAGACAAGGTTCATCACTGTCAGGTGTCTACCACCATTGCCTCCCATCAGTTTAGTTCCCATTCCCACATGGTGGTGTAAGGTATTTGTGTCACTGTATTACCTTTACCTTTGGTAACTGTGACTATCTGTTACTGTGAGTTCTTATCTATAGTATTTCAGATTTCTGCAGACTGATAATGTACACCGGGCCATCTTAGTTCTTCTTATCAGCGGAATGAGTGTGAGAGGAATTCGTAATCTTAGTGAGCAGAGGAACATATTGGGTAACACTACTATGAAACTTCACATTCAATAAATATTATTTTGAACAAGAGCCATGAAATAAAAAATTCTTTCCTCCCTCCTCGTTCCTTCTCCTTCTTACTTCCCCCTCCCCTTTCCTTCCACTTCCTCAATCCAACTTCTCATAATCATCCTACTTCCTTCTCTCTCTTCATTCCTTCTCGTTCCTACTTCCCCCTCCCCTTTCCTTCCACTTCCTCACTCCAACTTCTCCTCATAATCATCCTACTTCGTTGTCCCTCTTCATTCCTTTTCGTTCCTACTTCCCCCTCCCCTTTCCTTCCACTTCCTCACTCCAACTTCTCCTCATAATCATCCTGCTTCCTTCTCCCTCTTCATTCCTTCTCGTTCCTACTTCCCCCTCCCCTTTCCTTCCACTTCCTCACTCCAACTTCTCCTCATAATCATCCTGCTTCCTTCTCCCTCCTCATTCCTTCTCGTTCCTACTTCCCCCTCCCCTTTCCTTCCACTTCCTCACTCCAACTTCTCCTCATAATCATCCTACTTCGTTGTCCCTCTTCATTCCTTTTCGTTCCTACTTCCCCCTCCCCTTTCCTTCCACTTCCTCACTCCAACTTCTCCTCATAATCATCCTGCTTCCTTCTCCCTCTTCATTCCTTCTCGTTCCTACTTCCCCCTCCCTTTTCCTTCCACTTCCTCACTCCAACTTCTCCTCATAATCATCCTACTTCCAAAGTAGATAACTTTCAGTCCAGTATTAGATACAGGTTTACAACACTTCAGTCTTTATTCGCCTTACATGTTTCGATTCAAAAGAATCATCTTCAGAGGCGCACCACTACGAGCAGGAAACACTGTCACATAAGATGTTTTAACATTATGCGCTTAGGTTACGACACAGCACGCACGTAAACTACACAACTAACAATAAGAACATACAACCAAGAGAAATAATCGACATCTTCTACCGTCCGGAAGAAAAAACAACATGACCCAATGCTGGTTCACGATTTTTAACATAATAACTAATTTTTTACATACAAAAGATTTTTAATACAATTTTAAATACATAGGGAAGCTATTTTATGGAAAAGTGAACATCACATTGCGTGCAGTGGGAAACCCCAATCAAATACCCAGCAAATACGCTTAAACAAAACATCATACGTAAATCTACATGTCAATGTGGCTGCATAGGGCAAACTGTGATATAGTGAGCACTATTCATAACCTAAGTGCATAATGTTAAAACATCTTGTGTGACAGTGTTTCCTGCTCGTAGTGGTGCGCCTCTGAAGATGATTCTTTTGAATCGAAACATGTAAGGCGAATAAAGACCGAAGTGTTGTAAACCTGCATGTCATACTGGACTGAAAGTTATCTACTTTGTAATTAATAGTGTGACGGACCAGAATGAGACAAATCATCCTACTTCCTTCTCCCTCTTCATTCCTTCTCGTTCCTACTTTCCCCTCCCCTTTCCTTCCACTTCCTCACTCCAGCTTCTTCCCCTACTTCTACTTCCCCTTTCCACTCTCTTTCCTCTGCTTGAATTTTTTTTTCTCATTCTTCCTACTTCCTCCTTCCAGCCTCTTCTACTCCCCTCCTCCTTCTTGTAGCACAATTTCTGTTCCATAGGGATTGATGAACAAGAAGTCTCCTATGTCCTTATGTTCTCACAATCTCTCCTTTTTGACTTCTTGTCAGTGCTTCCCCTTTTTTTGAGGCCTTCCAGTATCTGGCTGAACAATCTGTTCAGGGCTTCTCATAAGGCTTTTCCTTTTTAACCATTCAAGTGGTTATGACGTCTATAGACGTTATGCAGTACTATGTATCATAGTGGGCATGACGTCTATAGATGTCACGCATGTTTCTAACTACTCCATTGTAGATGTAATGCCCATCAGCAATGGAAACTTGTACATTGTGCTTGCAAGATGTTTTAGCTACTTCAGAGTGTAACAGGAAGTTGCTGATTACTTGATAGCTATCCTGGGTTCTAGTTCTTTCGAATAAACATTATGGCACGTCCTGGCAAGAAGATGCGTGTAAGTGACGAGAGAGGTGTTTTATGAACTGTTACAAGAGAATGAATACAGTGATATTTCAGAGGTTGAATATAGTAGTGATAGTGAAATAAATGGGAAAATTTCTTCAGGTAGGGAACAAAGTGTCAGCTCTGATGAAACAGAAAATGCAACTGGACATAAGGACAATTTTGGGTACTGAGCAACCATGTTTTCCATTTAATGGCAAGCCTGGGATAAATGTTTATTTAGAAGACCACAGTAACCCCCTGGAATATTTTGAGTTGTTTTGTACACCAGACATTGTGACAGCAATAGCCATAGAAACAAATAGGTATACCCAAATATTTTTAGAAAATATGCCAAATCTAAAACTAAAATCTATGACTTATTGCTGGGCTGGTATTGAAAAGCACATAATTATAAATTATTCACAGTATCTGTCACTTGGGTTGCAGCGATGTTTCCAGTGGTATAATGGTTTTAGTGATGATTTCATAGTCTGTAAAAGATAACGATTTTGTGATTGATGTTTGGAAGAACAGTTCAGTTCATTCATCCATACTAGCCTAGAGTTTTGCACACATGACAATATGAAATTCCATTTATCATTGAGTTATCCAGTGTCGCAGTGAGCCACTTTGGGAGTGAGTGTCTTCCCTAGAAAGTTTTGTCAGTGAACTACACTGATTGTGTTTCATCTCGAAACACCAGATGCCGGTCAGAAAACTGCATATACTGCATGTCCCTGCATCACACATGCCTTTATGGTCACGTATTGGGAACTGAAATGCATATCAGTGGTGACAGTGGTTGATTTTTTTTGACAATAAAACCAAAAGTATGGAATTTTACTTAAAAATATATATATAAACGTTAATGTATTGGATATAGAAATGAAAATACAGATATATCAAGTCTGATAATTGATCTTTCAGATGCTTTTTGTTCCATAATTTTATAATGACACATGACTGAGATATTGCATTTTGAAAAGGGAGCAAAAATTATAAAATTAAATGTCTCAGTGACAAATTTAAATGTCCAGAAGATTTAACGTGCCACTGTGAGAGACATAAGACACAGAAAAGAATCACAAGACTGGTTAATTTAAATTTTTAATGCCTTTCTTAATGTCCGTATTCTATCCATTCTTTCTGCATGGCCACACCATTGTAATTGTTTCTCTTCTAACTGTTAAAATTATGAAACGCCACTTCTTCTCTAAAAATGTTATACATTATTCTAGCCCTTTCTCCTTCTACCTCAGTGGCTCTCAGAAACTTCATATCCATCATTTGGTTTTTACTTTGTTTCTGTTTTTTAAGGATCCGTGTATCAGTGTTATACGTCAGCATCTGATTAAATGTGTTTTACAGATTAGGAGCCGCTAGTAGAGGTGTATTGGTCCTTAAACTTCCACAGTGATTAGTTGTTGTATTTTCATTAGATGATCACTGTTTACTTTTAGAGATAAAAGCGGATATAGTAAATACATTAGTTCCATGCAGATGTGCTATTTGTACATGACAGTGCATATTTCAAGATACGACACCCAATTACCTTAGTTTCCATTTTAGGAAATGTTTGTTGTACTCGTAACTACTACATTTTCATATCTGCTGCTGTTTGTTGCAATGACATGTCACTGTAATTTGTCTTCACCTTCACTGCACATTTCATATCTTACAATTTAATTACACATGTCTTGCAGGTGAGTATAGTAATGTTCCATTTGAGGAGCTGTTAATATGGGTTAAGACTGAGACAAGTCCTAATGCAGTATTTGCTGGTCCTATGGCCGTTATGGCAAACCTCCTGCTCTCTACAAGAAGACCAATTGTCAACCATCCACATTATGAGAATGCAGTTTTAAGGTGAGGAAGAGTATTCCACTTGCCTCTAATAAATAATCAGGGGTACTTCTAAATGCATACAGTAATAATGATTGGTTGTGTAGAATACAGTAACAGTGAATAAATGAAAACTTCTTTTCACTAACCTTTGATTTTTTGTTCTAGGGAGCGAACCAAAAAAGTATATTCAGTGTTTAGTAGGAAATCTCCACAAGAAGTGTTCAGTATCTTGTCCCATCTTCAAGTAGAATATGTAGTTCTGGAAGAATCATGGTGCTTCAGGGGAAACAGGTATACTTCCAGTGGGATCATTTAGTTGTAGTTTCATAATCTTATTTCTAGCTGATGTTTTAAACACGTTCAGCCATAGAAGGAGTTACTGTTGTTCAGATGGAAAGGAATGTTTTAAACATTAAATTAAATTCAAATGTAAGGAGCATTTCTGTCAAGTGTGGTAAGTACATATGATGAAAAGAAAGGTTTGTTAGGTTAAGGGCTCTTTGGATGACATTATAAGAGGAAAAAGTGTAGTTTTTTATATGTATGTGGTTCAGATTTGACCAAGAATTTTCGTTGTTTCTCTAAATGCCAACATGGATCAGTGTCATTATTTGTAGTCATTTTACGTGTCTCTCTCCCACATTAACTCTTTGACTGACACGGGCGTGTTTTAACGCCCGGGCAATGCAAGCCATTCCTGGCGTTGGCATGTTTTAGCGCTTTGACAATCTCTTCCCTTCTTTGCTCTCTTGGCACTCATCAACCAAAGACATATATGTGATAGTTTTTGTGCATGGTTGTAAAGAACCCTTGTAAACTTTGTGGGGGTCTATATTACTGTCAGAACCCTGCGAGAAGGAAAAGTTCAGAAAATATTTCACATTCATTCAGTTTCACCATGGCTTCTCGCAGCAAGTGTCGGCGTGTTCTTACAGACCAGCTGGAAAATGTTGTGAATGAGATTTGTGCTGATGATGCTAGTGGCGTGAAATAATGATTTCTGAATTAGATGAAGTTGATAGTGACAATAATACAGTGATAGACAATGATCCACAAGACAGTAATCATGAACATTTAGCTACCACGAGTGCGGTGCCTGACACGCCCATCTCATCGACGTACGGAGACATTGTACCAACAATAGTTCCATTTACTAGTAGTTCTGGGATCAAAATTGATATAACACATAAAATGCACCCCCTTTCATGAATTAAAATTTTTCTGGATGACGACTTAGTAAATCAGATCACAACTGAAACCAATCGCTATGCTCACCAGCACTTCAACACACACGAGTTAGCTCCTCACTCTCAAGAACAGAATTACAAATATATCACACCAGATGAAATCTGGACATGCTTAGGAATTGTGTTCATGACAAGAATCGACAAACGCCCTGAAATTGAAGAATATTGGTCCACTAGGCCCCTATTTCACACTCCATGGTACGGACAAAAATGTCTTTGCGGTGGTTCCAACAGATTTCAAAATTTCTTCATTTTGCTGACAACGATGCACAACCAGCTGACTGTGAAGATCGCCTGTATAAAGTTAGGCCAATTATAGACTCATTAGTGGGAAAATTTAGGAACACATATATCCCTGAAAAGGAAATTGCAATAGATGAAGGAATGATCGCTTGGAAAGGACGTCTTATCTTCCGAGTATATATGCCTGATAAACCTGATAAGTACGGTATAAAGGCTTATCTTGTTTGTGAATCGACAAGTGGATATATTTGGAATTTTGAAATTTATTGCGGAAAATCAAGACCTATAAAGGAATTAATTGTCAATCTGTTGGGGCCACACCTTCTAGATAAAGGGTATCATCTCTACCAGGATAACTATTACAATAGTGTAGAATTGTGAGATGTTATTACAGAGAAATACCTATGTGTGTGTGGAACCTTCAGAATGGACAGAGGAGCTCCTAAAGAACTAAGGGATGACGAAAAATATTTGGAAAAAGGGGAATCTGTTTTTTCTAGGAAGGGGCAGGTTCTCATACAGGTGTGGAGAGACAAAAGAGATGTCAAACTTATCTCCACTCTTCACACAGCAAAAATCGTGGAATCTGCAAAAACGAATT